GGGGGGTCTGGAGTTGTGGCTCAGTGGTAGAGCGCTTGCCTGGTATGCGTGAGGCCCTGGGTTCAATCCTCAGCAACGCATATAAATAATAATAATTTTTTAAAAAGATCCACTGACAACTAAAAAAGAAAAAAGAAAGAAATATACCATTTACCAACAGTTTCACAGTAGAGTAAACTGAACTTTAGGTGCTTCTCAAAACTAGAAGCAGCTTATTCTAAAAATAGAGAATGCACAAAACCATACACCACCACACTGTAACACTTCTCAAACATTTTTAGATGCAACATTTATGATGCAGCAACATACCAGTTCAGATTTAAAGTAGCCTATTGTGTTTTCATCCAATTGAAAATATCTTCTCTTCCAGTTTTTCATCTACCAGAAATAAACACAGATATAAGATTTATTTCTAAGAATGTCAAATGTTAATCACTACTTACTCATTCCACTATAAACCCCCAATGAGAAATGCTAAGGATTAAAACACCTCACTACCTTCCCCCAGTGAGGCAATATATGAAACACTGGCTCTCTTTTGCTGCCCAGGACTTGAACTTCTGGTTCAACTTTTGGTGTCTAGATTTCAGCTTTTATTAATGATTTTATGATATTTTATATTTTTAATGCTCTAAAAGAGGCACTTTTATTTCCTCGTCATCCCCACAAAGTAAACAGCAAGCACAGGAAATGTTATTAAACCACTGGGTTTCTCTATCTATAAAACAAAGAAACTATAAGTATTTTACATGTAGTAGCAAAGCAATAAATACTTAATTCATGAAATAGTTAATGACAAACACATATTTATATATATTTAAATATTTTTACAATTATTTTTATTAATGGGTATACTGAAATGTCTCTAAATGAAATTTTGGACTTGGGAGTAAATCAAAAAGGAATCGCTCATTAACACACAACAGAGCATCACGGCCTGGTGACGATTCTGATTCTATCCCTAGACACTCTACAGGGAGAGACCTTCAATCATGGCCTTCATTTCCCTGCACCTAGAGGAAGTCAAACAGAGCTGGAAGAACTTTCCCTGGGCTGACCTAGGGGAATCAGAGTTGCCAGAAAGGGATGAGCAATCAAACAGAACTGCCAAGAGAGATGCTGGTTTGTTTTTTCCCCCTCTTCTATTTTCAAATTGTAAAGTTTATTTTCTCATGCAATTCTGAAAATTTAGCCACACAGAGTAAATTAAAGAAAAGCATTTTTTTTAATACTTATTTATTTTTTTAGTTTTCTGCGGACACAACATCTTTGTTTGTATGTGGTGCTGAGGATCGAACCCGGGCCGCACGCACGCCAGGCGAACGCACTACCGCTTGAGCCACATCCCCAGCCCAAAGAAAAGCATTTTGAATCCTTAGAAATACTGGTAAGTTTACACTTTCTACTTTCTATTGGCTGCCACTTTGCACTAGAGCTCTTTCCCTCACCCATTCTAGAGGATAGAGAGAATCAACAGAAAAACTTTGCAAAATAAATTTAAACTGTTAAAAAGGCTCATTTAAACTGAAGGTTAATGGTAATAGGCCTTAATTTACCAACAACCCTTAGACCAAGGAAATACTACCATTACATTACAAACATAGAACAACCCCTCCTCTAGGTCCTAATACCCTTCCCAGTATGCTAGTCTCTACTTTCATAAAATAAAGCAAACATTCTAAATGTTAACTTGCAAGTTTTCTAGTACATTCACATTTTCATAATCTCACACATTTTATTAAGTTACTCACCACTGCTCCTTGTTTTACACAATATCCAGCTTTGATAACAGCACTATCAGGAGGTGGTTTTGGAGTAAAGCAAGGAAGATGGCTTTGTGATCGTTTCAAATTATTTCTGTCAACACTCTCGCCACATTCATTTACTTCTTCTTTCTAAAATGGAACAAAAGAAACAAATTTTCTTGCATGTTTGACTTCAAAGCATACTTTCATTTCATATTGTTATCCTAGTAGAAAATCTTCGTATCTACCGTAATGCAGTAGGAACACGGATTTTGAAGAGAGGAATTTTCTAATTAACCCAGGATACTTCCTCATCATTTTTTTTTTTTTGTTTATTACACCACTTTTTTTTTTTTTTGTTGTTCTACGTCTTCTTACTGCTTTTTTTGTGGGGGGTAGGTCCCTTCCATACATACATATATATATTTTTTTTAACTTGTTGATAGACCTTTATTTCATTCATTTATTTATATGTGGTGCTGAGAATAGAACCCAACACCTCACACATGCTAGGCAAACACTCTACCACTGAGCTACAACCCAGCCCTATAAGTCTTATTTTGAAATAATTATACAAATTCTTGATAGGAAGTTTATCCCCCTCACCAAAATGTACAAGACATCCTTTGACCCTACAACCAGATTACCCCAATAAGAAAAGTGTATAACTACAGATTATATAACTAAAACCCAGAACAGACACTGGTACACCTATAAACCTTATTCAGAGCTTACCAGTTCCGTAGGTACTCATTTGTCTGTGTGCACATATAGTTCTATTCAATTTGATCACATGTGTAGATCTGTGTAACCACACACAATCAAGATACAGAAGGCTTTACCCCTTTAGAGATCCTACCCCAATCCTTCCGTCATTTATCTGTTCTCTTTGTCTGTAATATGACACTTTGAGAATGTAAGTGAAATCAGGCAGAAGGTATTCTTTTAAATTGATTTTTTTTCCACTCAGCATAATTCTCTGGAGATTCATCCAAGTCATTCCTTGTATCAGTAGTTCAATTCTTTTTGCTGCTGCATTCTATAGTATAAATGTACTATAACAGTTTTTTAACTTTTAACCATTTACCCATTAAACAGCATGTTCTCCTAGCTATTAGGAGAATTAGGAATAAAGCTATTATAAACATTTATGTAAAGCTTTTTATCTGAACATAATAATCCATACTTTTAGGATAAATGGTTAGGATTATGTTGTAGTTTGAATCTGCAATACTTTCCACCCCAAAGGCTCGTGTGTTGAAGGCTTGGTCCCCAACACAGCAGTATTCAGAGGCAGGACCTTCAGGAAGGTGATTGGATGATGAGGGTTCTAACCACTTCAGTGGACGAAGCCATGGAAAGATTCATAATCTGATGGCATTACTGGGAGGTGGTAGAAAATGCAGGAGGTGGGGCCTAGCTGGAGGAAGCGGGCCACTAAGGGCACTTCCTGGAAGGGTATATCTTGTCCTAGGTTCCTTCTTTGCTCTCTCTGCTACCCAACTCCCATGAGGTACGTAGCTCTGCCCCACCATGCCCTCTCTGCCATGATGCTCTGCCTCACTGCAGGCCCACAGCAACAGAGTCAGCTGACCATAGACTAAAATTTCTGAAACTGTGAGCCAAATTAAATCTTTCCTTCTTAAAGTTGTTTTTCCTAGGTATTTTGTCACAGTGACAAAAAGCTGACTAATACAGAATACAAATGCTGGGTTGGAGAGCAACTGTTAATTTATTTGTATAGTAATAAAACAGCAAAATCTGCCAAACTCTTTTTTGAGAATGTCTTACGTTCCCACCAAAAGTGGATGAAAGACTGTTTTTTTCCCTTCATCCTTGTTAGCATTTGTCTTGTCACCAGTTTATTTCAGTTACTCTGATAGGTATGATATTGTGGTCTTACTATTTCCCTGCTGACTACTGATGAACATCTTCAAGTGCTTATCATATGTGATTTCATCTTTTGGTGAAATGTCTGTCATGAATTTTGTCCACTTTCTAATTGGATTTTGTTGTTGTTGGGTTTAATTGCTGAGAGTTCTTCACACGTTCTAGATACAAGCTCTTTACTGGCTATGTGGTTTACAAATGTTTCCTCCCAGTCTGTAGCTTTTCCTTTCATCCTCTGAACAAGGTCTCTCACAGGGCAAATATTTTTAATTTTGATGAGGTTCAATTTATCAATTTTTTCCTTTTGCAGATTATACTTTTGATGTCAAGTCTAAAAATTCTATTTAGTCCTAGATCTTGAAGATTTCCTACAATATTCTTTTTCTAAAAGTATAGTTTTATATGTAAGCCCAGTGTTTTTAACCTCTAACTATACCAGGATTTCATGTTTCTCAGAGCACTGGCTTCTTGTTTGTTTCAACATCTAACAATTTAAAATCCCACAAATAAGCCAAAGGTATATTCAAAAACTCCTAAAATTCAAGAAAAACCTACATCTAAATTGTATACGTACCTTAAGGCTTTTCAACCTGTTCTACATTTAGACAGGTGGACAATACTACTTACATACTTAACTCACTGCTTTCATAAAACTTATTGAATAAATTCATCATGCAAATGAGATTTAACATTTTCCTGATACTATATTACCTAAATGCTTTATAATGAGTAAACACTACTTTACTATTTTATAAACTATTGGTAAATACTAAAGCAATAAAATTCTTTATTATAGAGTGTTTAAAAAATGGCACCCCCCCTCAGAACCCAAATTGAAACAGCCAGAGATACAAACTGCTATAATATCTAAATAAAACTAAAGAGAGTCTTGGCCCTACTGTCAGTGCAAGTCACAACACAGGTGAAAGCAGCTTAGTCTAGCTGTGTATTAACCAGAAGTTTAACAAGTTAAAATCATTACTTTTAGAAAAAAGTAAATACAGATGCAATCCTATTGTATCTTTTTATCCAACTTTGGTAAAAACTGTAAGTTTCTACTAGAACAAGGAGTTTTATTAATATCCCTTGCCAAGTATAAAGAAAACATTGAATAGCTAATTAATTAATGGTATGATTTTTCTTTCCACTAATCACCGTCCCCTGCCAAAGACCTAAAAAATATGGTGTATAATATAATTTGATTTAAAAGGTTTATAAGTGTTAGTTTAAGTTCAAGAGATATGAAGCTAATGAAAATGCACGAACACTGGCAATAATAATTACTTTAAAATTCCTGGTTTCTCAATTACTAGTAATTAAATTTGCATTATAAATTCATTCCCTAAATAGCAAAACAAGAAATATAAGCTCATAAAAAGTAATAATTTCGTTAAAAAATGCCTACAAATTTATATTTTTCTTAGTACCCAAGTGAGGCTAGCATGTCAATTCTTTTGGGATACAATAAAATCAGTATTCAAGAACTCTCTTTTAGTTCACTTAGTACAGGTTTTAGGAAAAACAGGTTTTAAAAACTGTACATTTTTACAAATTCTTTGAATCAGCAATTGTATTTCCAAGAACTTATCTTTTAGAAAATACCAATAATGTCTCTAAAGTTTAAGAATGTTCATCATGGCACTATATAAAAAAGAAGAAAGAAAAGGGGAAAAGAACTCCATTTGTCCACAATAGAGTATTTGTAAAATTATGGTAAATTCATGGCAGAACTACTATGAGTCAATAAAAATGATATTGAAAGCTGGGCACAGTGGTGGGTTGCTTATAATCCCAGTGACTCAGGAGGCTGAGGTAAGAGGATAGCAAATTCAAGGTCAGCCTCAGCAACTTTACAAGACCTTGTCTCAAAATAAAATTTTGAAATAAAGGACTGAGGTTACAGCTCAGTGGTAGGGCACCCCTGGGTTCAATCACCAATACTTGGGGAAGGGGGAGCAAAGTAACTGTAGATGATTTGGAACATGTTCATGATAAAAGTGGAAAATATCTTAATATATAATTCACATCTCCATTTATGGGGAGGAGTACACAGAAGGCTCAGAAAAACCATGAAATTTATGTATTTTAATCTGTGATTTCCATTTTTCTTAGTAATAAACATATACTTTGGAATGAAGAAACACAAAAATAAAAATTTCCTACAGTATTGAGTATTGAATTCATTTAGTAAAGATGCACACTGTTTTGGTTTTGATGACAATATAAAAACCAATAGAATAACAAGACCCTCATACAATAGAAGATTTATTTATTACCTGAGTTGGAGTAATGATGGGTACACCACCAACAATGTCAGTTCTGTAAGACACTTGCTTCTTCCCACATTCACCCTGGCGACTTGGATTATCTGAATTAGGCTGTGAGTCTGATTGCTTTGGTACCTGAAACAAAGTTAGTTTGTAACCAGTGTTTTATATGAAACACTCTATCAAAGAATTTCCAGTTGTTCGTTTGTATATAATTGACAAATACATCTGGGTGTATAGGCACACACATGTGAGTACCAATCCCATAGGTTGTCACATTAATTTTCTGATCTAAAAATGCTTTACAATACAGCCATCAAATACTGAGTGCTAACTTGGCACAGGTACTGCTTGATCCATTTCTTCATACTCCTTCTGTCAACCCTATGCAAAGAAGCAGTATCTCCATTTGAGAAGTAAGAAACAAAGACCCAGAGGCATTAGGGAACAGGCTTAGACCCTAGTTGCATTAGATCTAGCCAAGTCTGTTTAACTCTCTTCCAAACCATCATGGACCCTGCTCAATAGAGAACTTTATATGGATTGTAGATCTTTGCCACCACCCTCCCTTTCCTCCATTTCTACTTAGGATTTCGCAAGGTCTGGGGGTTAGAGATCGTGGCACAGTCATCTTTAATGGCTTCAAGACACAATCTATTTCTAAACACATAAGTATTCAATAAAGGCTGAAAAACTGACTCAATAAACACATTTAGAATCAGCAGGAAAAAAGAACGAAATTCCTAAGATAGAAAAAAAAAACCAAGGTATTCAAAATAACACAACACTTATTAGGGATTTAAAGATGAGATTCCAATTCTGAAATCAATGATAAATCACTCATAGTATAAACAAATAATGACTGTGATAACAGGAGAATCTCATACATGTATGCCTAACTGATGTGGAATCATATTTAACATATGCTTAGCTTTTATTTGTGGCCCAACTAGGGACCACAAATAAAATACTCAGCTAATCAATATTTTTGTCTATAGACTGTTAAACATGGTATGAACTTTTTTTTTTGTTCTGGGAATTGAACACTGGGGCACCACATCCCCAACCTTTAATCCTCCTGCTTCAGCCCTCTGGAAACTGCTGGGATTATATGTATACACCACCATGCCCAGCTTATGGTCTGAATTTGAATGATAAATTTTTAAGGCTATGAATAAAATGTAGTAAAACCTACAACATCAATTATGATACTTAACATGATGTAAAGGTCATTTGGGGATCTTGCAGTCTTTTAGAAACATTATAATAAATACTACTGAAAATCACAAAACTAGTGGCATAAAAACATTTAAGATTAAATGTCACATAGTTAATCTGCTGGTCACATAGTTAATCTGTTAACAAAGTCCCAAGAGAACTAAAGGAGACTCCATTCATGCTGTATCCAAAGTCCCTAATCATTCAGTAGTATGATCTCAAGGTAGGGTGGATTCTCACAAACTGAAATGTGCTCAAGGTATCACCCAGGAACATTATTGACAAATTCAGATCCTCAGGCTTTATATCCAGAAATTCTGATTTTAAAAAAATCTAGAGTGCAATCCCCAAAATATATTGTAAGAGAAAACATTAAGGGTTTTTGAGGGATGTGTTTCACAAACCATAGTTCAAGAAAACACTGTTCCAAAACCTGTGTTCTTTTTATATGATGCTACTCTCATTAGGTTTATAGAAAAGCAGCTTTTTTGCAAAATAATTAGCAAACACAGACCATGCCTGTGAGAGAGGATGTTGAGCTGTAGCAGACCACACAAACTTGGACATAACTGTTTATAGATATAAATGATTTGTCTCATAGGTGACCTTTAAAACTCCTTCACCTCTCCCTTCCACCCTGCCTCCCTGGTGATGTTTCCACTCAGTCTTTGGGCCCAATCCTTCAGCTTCTGATGTGAACTTATATTACAATGCCAGTCACTGGCAGAAACAAAGGAGAAAAAGAGAAACAGTAAAGGAAGATCAGAAAGTGAATCCTGGATACCTCAAGTTCTATACATTTTAGACTGCTTAAAAGGTAACACAGGAGTACACGGAATTTTAGCTGCCAACGAAAAATAGAACATCATGCCCTAGAACAACCTGCTGAGGAAACATACATTTTTCTAATAAACAGTATCATGTATCTAAATTATTTTGACAGTGAAAATGTCGCCTTTTATCTTACTAAAAACCAAAAACACCATAAAGAGAATTTGAAACCAGAGAGAAAATGATCTCTTTAACTTCGTTAGATGAGATGTGCTGTCAAGAGGAGACTTATAAAAAAAGTAGTAGCTTCTCCTTTTTACAAGAAGTTGAGAGTTCAGCTGTATATGGTAATTTCCTAAGAAAAATCTTTAGTGTAACTCAAAAATCTACTGAAATTTATATTAGGTTTTCCATTTTTCTTCCAAAATTATAGTATATTAAAAATCCTCAGCTGGGCACAGTGGCACACACCTGTAATACCAGCAGCTCAGGAGGCTGAGGCAGGAGGATCGTTTGAGTTCAAAATCAGCCTCAGCAAAAGCAAGTCACTGAGGCAACTCAGTGAGACTTTGCCTCTAAATAAAATACAAAATATGGCTGGGGATATGGCTCAGTGGTTGAATGCCCCTGAGTTCAATCCCTGGTACCCTCCCCACAAAATCCTTCCTTATGCTGTTAAACCAACTGCTTCTAATTTGTTCCTATAATAAAATCAAGAGTTAAATATAACATAACTCCAATGTTCAAGTCTAATAATTAACTCAGAATTGCATTTTGTAATAAAAACTACCTAACTTATAGTTACCTTATTATCTTAAGAACAATACAAGCCAAATATCCATAAATATATGTAACTCCCTTAAAAATTATAGATATTTAGGCTTTGGAAAGTGGCCCAGTAGTACTGTACTTGCCTTAAATACACAAAACCCTAGAATCAATCCTCAATGTATCTCTCTCTCTCTCTCTCTCACACACACACACACACACACAATAAATTAAATACATTTTCAATTAATTTTTTTAAAATTTAGGTACTCTGAATGAAAAGTTAGTCTAAATTCAGCCATTAAGCTAAATTTTCAAGAACCCTAAGCCACAAGTTTCCAAATATGTCAACTGTTAATGAGAATCAGAAATGTGGTCTCACAGGGGAGGGTGAGAGCAAGTGTCAGACACTAAGCAGGTCTGGTCTGACTATTGCCTTTCCCTGCTTTCTTTCTTTTTTTAAAAAACATGATTGTTTTTCATGTGAGATTTGGATGCATTTTAGCATGTATTTCCTTATGAATCTAATGTTAAAAATTCTAATAGTAGGAAAAAAAAGGTAAAAATAATTTGGGGCTGGGGATGTGGCTCAAGCGGTAGCGCGCTCGCCTGCCATGTGTGCGGCCCGGGTTCGATCCTCAGCACCACATACAAACAAAGATGTTGTGTCCTCCGAAAACTAAAAAAAATAAATAAATATTAAAAAAATAAGAAAAGGTAAAAATAATTAGAGAGTAAAGAGATGAATAAAACAGACTTTGATATTTATGAGGGAAATAAATGGAAATGCTATATATTTCTTAGAAGTTAAAGGGAAGGTTGATGTTCAATTTACTAATTAGACAGTACTTGAAGACTAAAACCTGAAAGGTTCAGACACAAATTCCTGGACCTCCCCAGCCATATTTTGTATTTTATTTAGAGGCAGTGCTCTCCACCTGACATGCCAGTTGAAAATATTACTTTAAAACAGAAGGCCCAGCTAACACTCTTGGGCACATATACCATTTTATTAGAACCAAAGTCTTATACTCAGTTCACACTTCAACTTGCTCTCATTGGCCATTAAAAAAAAAAAAAAAAAGTTTTAAGTTTGTAACACAACTGAAAAGATTAATTTTT